TATCTGTCTACCGATGTCGCGCAAAGTTTAAGCGGCAGTTTTTCCTGCTGACCTGAGCACCCGCAGCCATGGTACGGAACATCTATGCAAGTATCTACAGCGCTGTGGGCGAACGCCTGAATGCGTGGGCTGCTGCTGTGCAGCAAACTCGAATTCAGGATCTACGCGGCTTTTCCGACGGTGACGGCGAGAAGCCAACAAAAACCGGCTACAAGGACTGCTTCGATTTGCACAGGCATAAGGCATCATTAGCAACAACATGGACATGCTTTAGTCTGCACGCCGCCTGCTCACTTACAAATCAGCAATTGTTGCAAGCTTCATCCTCAACACCGGACACACACTGGGAATGAAGCATCTCCTTGATTGGCACAGTGAAAACTTTGCTGAGGCTAAAAACGTTGTGCTGTCGCATGATTGCAGTGACACGTGGATTGCAAGGCCTCCAGACGATGGAGTTACACCCGACGTCTGTAATTGTTCATACAGGATCAGAGCTAGCATGTGAAGGTTCTTTCCAACGCCTCATTGCTGGCAAGCTGAAGCGCCTGCAGTCCACCACTGAGCAGCCAGAACTCCAGAAAGCACCCGTCAAACCAACACCGGGGACCTTTCCGTGCTGGCCGGTCTAGGCATTGCCTTTCGGCTGTCCCAGTCATGATCTCGCCCATGGCTTTATGCATACATGCATGTGACCGCATATCCAATGGTCTGCACATGTTGCTGTCTAGAGGCAACTAAGACCTCATCACGGCATCCTCTATGCACATATTGCATTTTTCTATAATATATGATGGCAGTATGTTCTTCGACACAGCCTATCTTCTTCTCCTCCGCTGTGTGTCTCTCTCTCTCTCTCTCTCTCTCGACGTGCCACCACGAGGTTCAGGCTTTCTACCTAGTCTACACCGAAGCAATTGTTTGTAGTCAATGCAGCATCGTGACGGACAGCCAACCCAACAAACCCATTCCAGTGGGCAATTCCTTTTTGAATGCAAAGCCCCCCCTACCCTCCTCGGGCTCTCCTTCCTTTTCGACTTGGGCTGGTCTAGGAGCCCACCTTTGCTGCTTGGGCGGATTGCCTGCATCAGCACAGACATGCCATCAGCTCGTGCCGATGTCTCCTGCAGTCAAGACACACCTTACCCTGGCTCGGGGCTCCACCTTGGGCCGTTGGTTTGGATGCAGCCACATCCACATCGGGCTGGGCGCTGGGCCCATGAGGCTTTTCAACTTCGTGTGCAGAGTCACCGGGAATCCTACTAGCCTGCTACTGGTGCGGATCAATGTGTGCATCTTAGGTATGTACGCACATCACGAATACACTGAAAAAATAAGGGGGGTTATAGACACAGCCATAAGCATGCACACACATGCATCCGACCATCCATTCCATCTGTCCATCTGTCCATCCATCCATCCATTTATCCAATCCAATCCAATCCCATCCCATCCATCCATGCATCCATCCATCCATCCATCCATCCGCGCATCCATCTATCCCCGCCTGTACACAAGCACATATATATATATATATGTACACACGCATATGTACATATATGTATAAAAAATATAAACAAATGAACAAATATCTATATATATATGTGTGTATATATATACCGCATTGTATACATACATGAGTTATATTCTATTCGTTTGCTACAACTGCCAAGCGAGACGTGAATGGCTACTTCATCATATCATGGATCGCTACATGTGCTGCTACGCACTATCTGTGCACAACGGCCTACAGCATACAATGGAATATTGCTGGTGGAAATTTGGGGTCGAGCATTACAATCGGTGTGTGGCAAAAAGATAAGCCAAGCATAAGCCTGCACCACGCCAAGAATGAAGCATCTGTTTGACTGGCACAGCGGAAATTCAAATCACAACAAACTGACGGCACACCATGGCAGACCTGTTGTGCCGTCGTATCGAGCACGAATTGGGGATGTCGATGGGCCAGGACTGGGGCTTTAATCCTGCGTGCTGGGCAATGCAAATGGACGAGGATTACATGGGAGTCTCCAGTCGGATGAGCCGTGCAACTCACCCATTGGGCGCTGTGGTTGCAATGATGCATGACGGAGTTACAGCGAACGGTTAGAAAGGTTCAGAAAGGATCGAGCTGACATAGCTCATCGCTCGCAAGCAGAGGCACCGTGCAGTCCAGCAGCCAGAACTCTAGAAAGCACCCTTCAAGCGAATACACTAGGGGGACCTTTCCATGCTGGACGTGCGATGGTGACAACTCAGCGGCAGGACTCAGCCAAAAAATTCAAGCAATGCTTGGGTCTGATCAGAGTGGCGGCGGAACAACCACCCAATACTAATCTGCCCGGGCGGCACATCGGCCGGGGAGGAAGTCGGAGGAAGCACTAACACTAGTACGAATACTCATACGAGTAGTAGTAGTAGTAGTAGTAGTAGCAGCAGCAGTAGTAGTAGTAGCAGCAGTAGTCGTAGTAGTAGTGTAGTAGTAGTAGTAGTAGTAGTAGTAGTAGTAGTAGTAATGGTAGGGCCCCCCCGCCTCTACCAACCACCTCTCCTAAACACTGTTTAAGAGCACATCCATTCTGCTCGGTATTTACAGTACTTTCGTGATGTCGTAGTCCAATACCAACCAGCGCTGTTGAAGGGTGGGGGTGGGGGAAGGGGCGTGGGGAGGGGGGGGGGGGGGGTGCTGACATACTTTTTAAGAGCACATCCATCTTACTACTAGGTATTGTAATCTTGTAGTCCAAATACCCACGATGATGATGTTGAGTTTAGGCGCCAGGTGGTTGATAGAGGGGGGGGGGATGCTAGTGGTAGTAGGGGGTGGCTGGTGGTGGTAGCAGCAGCAGCAGCAGCAGTAGCAGTAGTAGTAGTAGTAGTAGTAGTAGAAGTTGTGGTAGAAGAAGAAGAAGTAGTAGTAGTAGTAGTAGAAGTAGTATTGGTAGTAGTAGTAGTAGTACTACTACTACTACTCCTACTACTCCTCCTACTACTACTACTACTACTACTACTACGACTACTACTACTAGTAGCAGTAGTAGTAGTAGTCGTCGTCGTAGTGGTGGTAGTAGTACTAGTCGTAGTAGTAGTAGCAGTAGCAGTAGCAGTAGCAGTAGCAGTAGCTGTAGCTGTAGCTGTAGTAGTAGTAGTAGTAGTAGTAGCAGCAGTAGAAGTCGCAGCAGCAGCCATGGTAGTGGTGGTGGTGGTGGTGGTCGTGGTAGTGGTAGTGGTAGTAGTAGTAGTAGTGGTGGTAGTAGTAGTAGTAGTCGTCGTAGTCGTAGTGGTCGTTGTAGTAGTAGTAGTAGTAGTAGTACTAGCAGAAGAAGTAGTAGTAGTAGTAGTAGTAGTAGTAGTGGCTCCCGCATGGCAGCAGTAGTAGTAGTAGTAGTTGTTGTTGTTGTCGTCGTTGTTAGATCCAAAATAGCCTTGGGCCCTGAAAGCCTTGAGGTTGCTTAGAACACGCCTACCTGCCATGGCTCAGTGTTCAGATGCCTCCGAAAGTGGCTAACATCAGGCCAGGAAAAACATTGCAATCATGGGTAGTCCGAAAACAAAGCCAGGTAGTCCAACAACGATGGAGCCAAAATCTGTGTCCCTGCTTACCGAAAAATCCAGGCCGGAAAACTTGACGTTATTGGGTCCAAAACTAATCCGGGGGTTCTCAATGAGGCCAGAAAGCTTTACATTACTCGGGTCCCCCATACCCTACTGACCGGACCCAAACATCATTCGTGAAGCGCTCGACGAGCGCCGTACGACGATGTCACCTTCGCTGTGAAGCCCATAACGTGCCTCTTTGCAACTTTCATGGGCTTAGTTGCCGCCAGAAGCAGTCCACCGCACAGCAACCTCACTGCTTCCGCTACAGAATTCATAATAGCAAAGGCCTGCTCATCAACAAACATACTGTGGTTGCTAACCTGCGTATTTCGGCTGCAAATTAAAAAGCGTGCAACACCGATGCCGCTGCCCAGCAGGAAAATACCCGTACCAGGAGCACTCTTGCGTGCACCTTTCCACATGTATCACCACAGGAAGTCCCTGATGAGACTGGCAACCTATTACGGAACCGGTGGTTGCCAGCTGCAGCCGCAGCCCTGGCCTTGGCATGCCAACCTTGAGGAGAATATTAACTATAGATGCCGTTGCTGTCTGATCGGTCAACTTCCACTGCCTTTTGACATGGAAAGGCTCGTGCACGGTTTGCCCAAGTGCGAGAACGACAGCTGGCGTGTCTCAGCGTCGATCTTGTGTGGCAGCAACTGTTGCGGTGTATCGGCATACACGCAGAGGACACCAGCATGCATCTTCGTTTCTGCGATTGGGCCTTAAACTGTTTGAGATCACTGAGCGCAGTCCGCTAACCCAAAGTGCTACAACGACGACATGTCTTCTGGACTCGTGAAGCTGGTAATGCAACCGACTCAGACGAAAATGCTTCTCGGACTCTATGAACATCGGACGTGCAGTCGATGAAGTTGGCTGCGCTGCCAAGTCTCACTGACTGTCACTATCTAACTCAGCCGCAGGCTATCTCGCAAATACTGACAGTGATGTGGATGTGCTTCGGAACTCAAAAGTCAAGCAACTATTACTACTATAAGCAGCGCTCAACATGACTGCGAGTGGGCAAAATGGCTGTCCAGCCTCGGTCTGTGGTTGACCGTAGTGTCGTACCACTGTTCAAGCCGTGGGCTTGCGAAGCTTCTGTTTAAGACGTGGAAGGTGCGAGCATAGTGGCACACTCCGCACGCGGGTTCGAAAGTTCTTGCTGCAAGCAGGCCCGAACTTCCGGATCGAAGTCAGAAGTGAAAAAATCACCTCAGTCTTGTGCATTCTAGCGGCTGCTGTGCTATTGCTTGAAAGCCTGGCACATGTGGGTGCACAGTGGCGAGATCAACCGACGAATGCAAAAGCAGAAACCAGTAGCCATCTGAAATCTTCTTCAACTAAGCAAGTTCATTCCATCTATACAGTACAGGAACCAGCCTCAACTGTGTCTACTCCCACAAAGCTTTCCTGTAAGGCTGACTACCCAGCAGCGCAGCCACCGGCATCTTTGCCAGAACTGCCTCCCAGGGTCATGTACTCTGCCTATCCTCGAAGAGCGGGCCGTTGTTGGCACCGCAGCAGTTCTAGCTCGAAACCTGAGCCCTCCAGCCTGCACAGCTTTCCGATCAGTGGAAAAGGCTCGGGACGAATCCGCCGTCTCCAGAGCCTGAAAACGAACCACGGCCAAAGCCTGCTCCGCTGGTGAAGCATCCCAAGACCTCGGCTGTGCCTCGTTCAAAATGGTGATCAACTTCTGGATGGAAGGAAGGGTGCGGGGCATTCCGGCCTCCTCTACTCTCGGCTGAGCTCATGAGACGGAGGTCTGCACCTTCAGAAAACTGTCAAAAACCGTCCCGTCCTTCTTGCACAGGATCTGCATCAGGATTTCGAGACGCTCTGCTGCTCGCATAGCCTCAAGCTTCCAACGAATGGCCTGAAGCGTGGGTTGTGACTGCAAAAACTGCCCGGCCATCGGTACGTTTTCGTTTAAATAGTTGACAAGAGCTCTGAGATACTGTTTGGGCTGTCCGTGAAAAGTGGCCCATGCCATGGCAGCCCAATTTTCAGCCAAAAGGGCTCTAAACGCATGACAGTCTTAGTCTAATGCCGAAACCATAACCTACCACAGGCGAAACCACCAAAGTCCACCAAACTCGAGGCAAACCAGGTTCCGGGGTTTTCATGTGGTGCTGCGGTAGCAGGGGTTTCGCAGTTCCTCGGTCCGACCTGCAATTCTTCCCTCTGCCGCTCCACCCCTCGCACGCAGCATCCACTTCCTGTGCCACTTCCTGTGTCTGGAAGCCAACGCAGCAGCTTGTCTCTGCAAACCAGGATCGCCAACATGGGCCGGATTTACCCCGCTCTACGTGTCACCTCTACTCTAGTAAACATCCCGCCGGGACCTGGGCCAACTTCGGCTTCCGATGATGCGGCAGATGGCAGTACTTGCAGCCCAAATCTGCTGCACATCTCCTTCAGCAGAGACCACGAGCTGCAACAAAGACACATTGCACTGAGCCAAACATACTCCAGAAGCTTCAGTGAGTGCAAGCAAGGTTCCCTGCCGAGAAGAGAATGCAAGGTCGACGGCAAAACTCGGGATGTCCCGACTGGCCAGGAAGGACTTCCAGCAGATTCTCACGCTCGTCGTCCTGCACAAGGCCCGTCGCACGGCAACAGCTTGACAGATTCGATTAAATCGAATTACGCAGTTACACAATGCCCCCACATGCTCATCGGCCTTTTCTGCTCCAGGATCGGCGGCCGAGCTTTCGCTGAGGCAAGGTGGGGCAAAGGAAGGCTCGTCGGCTGCAAAACTTCCAATACCCAGTTCCGCAGACGGAATGGGATCGTCCGGAGTCTGATGAACCTCGCCTTCCTCCACAGGTTGGTCGGCCTTATGCTGGAGTCAAAGCTCGAAGTTTGAAAGAACAAAAGCACAAGCTGAACGTCAAATCAAGCTGCCCCGTTGCGCATGCCAGTCCACAGGGCTGGTGGGATGCCATGGGCCCAAAAAGCCCCAAGAGATTGAGACACCTAGGCTGTATCAGTTTGGAGTTGCCTGACTTGAGCTTCCTTTTCTCGTTTCGTGTGCCTGCCGTATACTTAGAAACCAAGGTGCCCTTGCTCTCCGGAGCTCAGACTCTACACGTTTCGAAGTCGCAACATTCCGAAGCCCCACAGCTAGAGTACAGGCGCGAGGCGCCTTGATCCGGCTGCCCCCCCTCTACCCCTCGAGCGTTGTACCTCCTGCTTTGCCAAACCAGAACAGCATCGGAGCTTCTGATGACTATGCTCGTTAACTTTCTTCTTTGGCAAACAGTGCCGTTCCTGTGGTATTGCAAGTTGACTTCGTCAGTCTACATTGATCTTCAAGTGCCTCGTCTTCTTCCATCTTTTTTCTGCAGGTCAGCTGGTGCACGGCTTGAGTGTGAGTGTGTGTCTGTGCGTGTAAGTGCCAAAGAGCATAAGCTAGGCACAGCCAGCCGCAAAACATGCAGAAGCAACGGCAACCCGCAACCCTTGCAGCACGATCCCAAGCTCCGCAACACCCAAGAGAACTCTACGCTTCACACGAGACGAGGTCAGTCAAGAAGCATTTGACAAGTACCTGTCCAGACTCGGCTCGTGCTGGAAATCGGCCTGGGCTGGGGCCCAAGGATGTCCAAGGAGGCCAGGAAGCTTCCAAATTCTACAGCCAAAAACCCCTTGTGATCTGGATTGGGGACTTGAGGCCTGCAAGGTCTCGGAGGCTCGGCCTGTGTCAGTTCAAGCTTCAAGGCCTCAGATTCAAGAGAGGACATTTGCAGAAACCCGGCTGTGCTATCCCCTATCCATGCCAAACACAAATCTGCCAACAGCCTTTGACACTGCAGCCATGTCTTACTTCCCAAAACAGGCTTACCTCAACGAGTTCTGGCAGGGAGTCTTGCTCCATGTGTGATATCGTCTCTTCCTGATCGCATGTACCAAACATCTGAAAAGCCAGTTCCGAAGCTCAAGACTCTTACTGTATCAAACGCTGTGGCCTGGCCCGGCAAACGGGCTGGAACACTGACTGCTCGGCGATGTCCAGGTTCACCCATGCGCTCCTGGATCCGTCTCAGCTTGAAGCACTTCGGACAAACATGAATATTCATGTGGGCAGGAGCGGCGAAGCTTGATGTGCTGGCCAAAACCCCAGAGGATGCTGGGTGCTGCAAGTGGACTGGCTAGGCAAAAGATTCAACAAAGCATGAATCTGGCGTTGTCCTCAAGAGGGACCTGGAGGAAGGTGTTCCTGTAAGCGACGACTGGCATCATCTTTCCTGATGATCCGGCTTGGCTTGGCAACCAGCAGGAAGACCGCACACACAGTTGCAAGATGCCGCGGGCACGTAAGAATGGACCTTCCGCATCGGGGATCACAGCCTTCGCAAGTCTCTGCGGGCGAGCAGCGGTACCGGGTAGATGACGCACTCAAACCGTCTTCGCTGCTTTAAGTGTGCTAGAGCCAAGACAACAAGCAGTGGGCAAACAGCTAGCTGCAGCATGAGATGCCATCGCGCATCAAACGGCAATCTACGCTGAATCTTTGCTTTACTCCGCTGCTCCTGCAAGTCTGCTCACTGTGGATTCTCAGCTGCATAGGTCCAAGCGACCCATACATTGGTGGAAGCTAGTGGCCAAATCCCGCAAAAGCTAATCTAGAAAATGCCTGTCCATTCCCGACGACAGATACTGCAAACGACGAACTGTTGCCGTCACCGTTGTTCCACCGACATTCAGCATCACGTTGTGGTTTATTAGATCGAATCGCTACATTCACTCATAAACTGAAGTTTAGATGCTGATCTCACTCATTTTGTGCATTCAGGTCACGAAGCGAATGCGGTATAGTTGATGCAACCAGTGCAACCCGCCATGAGTTTACATGCCATTTGTGCATGGCAGGGCCAACAGGGCTGCTGAGTGCAGGTGTGCTCCCAGCAATTCGCAGCTTTGACTCAGTAGGTGCTGCCGGGAGCCTCCGAAGCAGCTCCAGTCGCTATGCTTCCAGAGTTTCCAGCTGATTCATCTTTCAACAGGTTTGCCAATAGCCCGCTAACCCCAAAGCGAAAGGTGCGAGGATGGAGAAACTCCCCTGATGGCAGCATCTGCTCGACCAGCTTGATGTAGGACATGGCATCATCATACGTGCGCACCCCACCAGAGACCTTTAGGCCACGCTGCACGACTTTATCTCCATCACGGCTTCGCAGATCCAGGATGACCTGCAGCATAGTCTGCACTGCCTCCAGCGTTGCCCCAACTTTGGTCTTGCCCGTGGAAGTCTTGATAAAGTCTGCGCCGTTGCTGAAGGCATCCAGCGATGCCTTTGCAATAAGGTCTGGGTTGCACAACTCGCCGGTCTCAAGGATGACCTGGCTGGCGAAGGATTAAGGCACATCATTTAAAGGCGGAAAGGTTGTTTGGGTTCCTAACGCTGTCGGGAGTCCTAACGTTGGCTCTCTGCTTTGTTTACAAATACTGTACATTGCATGTGCTGGTCAAGCTATTGGGGACTTTGGATTAGCAGGGTTTCGTTTTGCCCCAAGCTATTGGGGTAGTGCAACTTCGAGTCCTGTCTTTTGTGAACCTATTGGGGAATTGCAATTTGAAGGGTTTTGCGTCAAACTATTGAGGAATTCCAACTTGTAGGGTGTTGTTTTGCCCAAGCTATTGGGGGAGTACAATGTCGAGGTTCCTGTTTTGTGTCAAGGTATTGGGGAATTGCAGATAGCGGGGTTTCGTTTTGTCCCAAGCTATTTGGAAATTGCAATTTGCAGGGTCTTGGTTTGCGCGAGCTATTGAAGGATTACAATTTACATGTTGTTGCGTTGTGTCAAGCTGTTGGGAATTCCAACCTGCAAGGTATTGTTTTGCCTCAAGCTATTGAGGGATTACTTTACATGATGTATCTTAAACACGCCGCTCATGTGGCGAGACTGGTTCCTCATATTTCTTAAGCACGCCCCTTCATGTGGCGATCCAGTTTCGTCATGCATCATAAGCATGCCCTTTCATGTGGCGATTCCGGCTCATCACATATCTTCAACACGCCCCCTCGTGTGGCGCTCCCGTTCATCATAACGTATGTTAGACAGGCTCCTCATGTGGCGATTTCGGTTCATCATACCCCTGAAACATTCCCACCTTCCCCCGAATTGGACGAGACCGCTTCATCATACATCTTAAACGCGCCCCCCTCATCACCTATCTTCAACACCCCCCCTCATTTGCCATTTTTTCACTAAACTGCTAAACCCACCGCCAACTTTTCACAGACCCGCGGCTGCGGCAGGGCTGAAAAAGAGAGCGGGGGGATTTGGGGGGCGCAGACCCCCCCCATTTGCAACCACAATGTCCGTATCAGAGGTTCTGAAAGGAATCGTATGTGTGCTGTTTTTGCTGGCAAGATACCATTTTGAAGCGAACTTGCACGGCGGCTTAAACAAGGTTTAAACAAGCTGGGTGGGGGGCTGACAAAGCAGCGCAAAGCATTCCGGTGTCTTGATGCATGCCTTGGGAGGTCTTCTCACAGCATGGTTCGTGCGAAAACTTAGAAGCAAGAGAGGGCAGACATGACATTGGATTCCGTGCACACACGCGCACACACACGCACGCACGCGCACACACACACACACATGCGTACTTAAGAGACACTCCAAATGGATTGCGTTGTTGTTGCTGTTGTTGTTGAGCATATATCCTGAACACGCCAAATCATTTGTCGATTCCAGTTCATCATACGTCTTAAGCATGCCCCTCATTCGGCGATTCCGGGTCATCATACTTCTTAAGCACGTCATTTCATGTGGCGATTCCGGCTCATCATATTGTATCTTAAACATGCCCCGTCATGTGGCGACAGAGGTTCATCACATGTCTTATGCACGCCCCCTCATGAACCCGCAGCCTGTGGCCCGCGACCCGAGCGACCCGCGGCAAGGCTAAAACAATGACTGGAGCGGACCAGAGGGGATCAGGGGACCAGAGGAGCACGTGACCAGGACACCCGAGGGGCCTAGGCCAACCCTACCAAGTTGCAAAATCTATAATACAGCATTTGCTCATATTTGCTCTTTTTTGAATGAAGCTATTGTGGGCACGGACCAGGGACAAAAGGACAAGGGGACCAGAGGACCAGAACGCCGGGTCAGGGGCTTAGGCCAACCCCGGGCCCCAGAACAGAGCCAACGTCAAGAATCCAAAAAACCCCGGGAACTAATTTAAAGGATCCAAAAAACGTCGACACTTTCTGCATTGGTTGTAGAAAGTAGTACCAACATATACCAATGCTGACTCAGCTTACGCCTCTCAAAGCAGCATGGGGCCTTGAGCAACGTGCTGCGCCCAGTCTCCGCGCAGTACTGCTCCAGCAGCCCCTTTGCCACCCGCACCAAGTCGCAAGACTTCGGAGAGCCGCCGGTGTTAAGGTACTCCTTCCAAGGGCCACAACTGCCAAAAGCACACCCTTAAGAGTCCAAGGGTGCCTTGTAGCAAATTACAAGGTCAATCTCGTCGGCTCCGAGCTCAAGAGCATGTCTGACCTCGCTGGCCTTATCCGTCTCTTTTTTTGGCCTTTCCGCCCAACCAGAACCAGAACAAGCCAGCTGTGAATGGTGCAAGAGCATGCTGCTGACAGCTTCCCATTGTAGCAAAGGAGCCACATCTGTCACGCTGCTGTCGCCACTGGGAAAGTTTACCACTGTGGCCACCCGCATTGCGTCCGGCTGCCCAAGATCATTGCAGATCTTCCTTCGCAAACGCTGTGCTTCCCAAGCATTGTCTATGCAGAAACGAGGCGCTATCCCGAAAAGACACATGATCTGCAACATGCCTCATGCGCAGTCGCAGCCAGAGCATTACCCAGATCTCGGTTAAGGCAACATCCCCACTACAGCCATCGCACGTCTGGGTGCAGAGCATTTCTATGCGATTGGAGGCTTTGGGACATATCCAGTGGTGTCAGTCTTTACACTAGAATACCGACCACAGGCAACTGCGCACAACGGTTCCCACACTCGGCAAACTCGCCGCTCAAAGCATCCCAGTGGCGCTTTTGCTGCTTGAATGAACTCCGGAAAAACGCAAACCGCCGGCACTGCAGTTTGGAGGGCGTTACTGCCAGAACCTGCAGAAAAGCCCCGGCGATAAACTCAGAATCAGAAGAATGCTGACAGCTCTCCACATCTCTCCACCGACACACTTGCCAAGCGCTAAGATGGCGGGCTCTTGCCTTGAAGTACCAGCTCCCCCACAGAGCTCACAGTGTCCTTCTCCCGGTCCAAAGCTGTCAAGTCCATCAAGGACACAATCTTCTGCCGCATCTTCTTTCCGGTTTCCATCTCCATCAGGGATGGCTTAGGCCGAGTCTGGGAAAACTACACATGCTACGAGTATTGCCCGGATGTCCACCCTTGCTTGCAGCGATGGCAAGTGGCTACGCCGCTTACGCCTAGAAGTACATGCCGCTGGCGAGATGCCCTCATCCTGGCTGGAGGGTCTTGAGTCCGACAGCAGGCGCTTCCAGCAGTCACTAACAGCTAGCAGATGTTGGAATAACTTGCAGGTGTCCGCTTGAACCGCGCTGGGGCGAGCAAGCTTCTCCATGGCCTCTTCCGTCCCTGCCTTGCCGTGCTAAGTCAAGCGAGCCGGGCAGACCTAAACCGACCTCCTTGAGCTTGAAGTTCAACCCTGACTCTTCCATAGCGAACCAAGCCCGTTGGGCAAAGGGGCACCTGCTGACTATACTCCATTTTCGCAGCTCCGCATCTATCAAACACCGTTCTGACTAAACCCAAACCAGCTGTCCAAAACTCTGGCGTACTGCAAAACACAAGCCTTTGCACATCCACTATCCAGGATGCGTGTACAAACAGTTCGAAACCTTTCCAAGCCTTTGAATGCGGAGCTCGATCTGAGGACGTGAGTCGATCAGAAAACTAACGGGACTGATGAAGCACAGGCGACACAAACAAGGTGACGCCACATGAAACGACCCGCGTGATAGCAGGGGTGTTTTTTAAGCAAATCTGCCGAGGTAAAACGATGATGTCTGGATTGCTAATTCTTGCTTTGGGGGACATCCTTGCACAACCTGGAAAGTTTTCGGGTCTGGCTTTCGTCATTGCCTTATCCTTGGAACTAGTGTTTTTGGTGGTTTTGCCACAGCGAAAACAAGTCTTTTTGCGTTTGATGGCTTGATTGTCTGGCAGCATGTCTTGACAGTTTTCCGGATAAGATGGCCTTTTTGGATTTCGGTCGAGGGTTGGCCATGCCTTCGTAGTCTTTGGGGGGCGGCTTGCATGCTTGGGATTATTGCTTGGAGAAAGGCTTCGGGCTCAGCCGCTATGCAATTGCAAAGGTATACTACTATAGGATTAGAGTATACTCTTGGTTATGGTATTATAGAATGGTTAGGGTTGAGAGACGTGCTGAGAGGGTTCAAGAGCCCCTGACCCCATGGTTTCACTCTGACTTGGTTGTAAGACCATGCAGTACAGTAGCAGCAGCAGTGGCAGCTGCAGCTGCAGTGGCAGCTGCAGCAGCAGCAGCAGCATAGCAAGGGTGGTTAGTGCAGCAGAACTAAAAGTACAGCTACAACTAATAGCACTGCTACTCCAAGGACTGCTCGGTAATGGACGTCGTGCCTCCTTAACACCCCAGAAGCAGACAAAAACAAGCATAACCCGCGGGTCACTTGGTAGTGTTAGCACAGACAACCTTGTGTTGGCTAGAGCTGCGCGCAACCGAATTGCACATTGCTGAGCTGCAGCCACGCGACATCTTATGCATAACCTTGGCAGCAGCTACCGTTTGCCGACCCCTGATGTGTGTGGGGTCCCCAACACTGGTGGTATCTTCGGCCATAACTGGTACCAGCGCAGTGGTCTGGGAGAAAGGATCCTGAAATTACAACTGACAGGCTAAGCTATTCGGATCTCAAGATGCTTGCTAGGCCTTGTAGTTCTACTACTACTGAGACGACGACTACTACCGCTACTATTTGCATTGTCATTACTGCTACTACTAATGCGACGACGACGACGACGACTACTACTACCACCACTACTACGACTACCTTTACGACCACCACCACCACCACCACCACGACTACTACTACTACTACTACTACTACCGCCAATACTACTAGTACTACTAGTACCACTAGTACTACT